GCACTATGCTTCCCTCCTGTTTGTGTTTAGAAGACAAATCAGACGGAGTGTGGACTAGCATAAGGAACACTTCATTGTCCAAGCTGCAGCTGAAAACTGTCTGAGGGCTGGCTTTACTAAAATATAATAAGATGTTGAAAGGGCCCATCTCTCTTAGTTGAGAAACTATTCCTGGCAAGGGAGCATATCCACTATGACTAAGATGTACAGATGGCATAAAAATTGATCGATAACAATCGGAATTCAAATGTGCCAATGACATCTTTGTCATTCTAAAATAAACTCAAATTGAACTCACTCTTCAAAACTTTAACTTCACATGTCTAGGGATGAAATTTACCAGAGAGAGAAAAAAGAGAACAAACTCCCATTCCTGACATCCTCACCACTGCATTGTATAATGGCAGGATACAAAAACAAGGCTCCTGGAAACCCACCCACATGGACCAAATCTGAAACTTCCAACAGCCACACCCTGCCACACATAAAATAGCACATAAAATAAGCTGCACAAAAATCCTCGTCAACCAATGCAAAACACATTGCATCTCAGTAGCACTGAGAAAAGCAGTGTTCAGCTACTTCTCTAGTATAGTCAATAAGAACAACTCCCCCCAGCCTTCCCCAAAATTTCAATTAAAAAAAATTGCACCAGGGGAAAAAAACAGAAAACAAACACCATACAGCTATATGTCATAAACTTTCATAATGTAATGCTACAGATCTTGATAAAGGTAATTAGAGATTTTTGTACATTTATACCAGGTTGGGAACATATTGCCTTAGAGAAAACCTATCTATGTATGTGTGGTTGCTAAAAGCTGGCCCTGGCTTTATACCAGTGATGGNGAATGACCAAACGCCAAAGGCGTACCTTCCCACCAAAGGGGGTTCCTATTTTTCTACTTGCATTTTTACATGCTTTCGAACTGCTAGGCTGGCAGAAGATTACATACAGATGACATTATGCCTTAAACAAACCCACTGAAGCCAATGGGATGTAGGTTAATTATGACAAAATTAAGCTTCATGCTTAACTTTTATTGCTTTGATAATACCGATTACATATTTATGAGTTATCATCTTTACTCTCAATAAAAGACAAAATTAAGTACTTTAGTATTCTCCCCCTCCTCCCATTTATCTAATTTTGATTTATCTTAAGTTTAGCTCTGACTGGATCAAACTAAATTGCTGAGTTTAGCACTCTATTAAGCCTCTGTGATTTACTTGAGTTTCCTTGTAATCCAGCCATTATGGTTTGTAAACTATGGTTTATAGGTTAGATTCTTATTCAAATACAGCCTTTTTTATTAAATAAAACACTGTTAGGCAGATCAGGGCATAGTATAATGCTTGAATTCAACTGCAACTTAAATAAAGTTAAAGGACTTCTATATTTAATAAGAAAAGTAGAATGGCAAAGAACAGAACTGAGATATCATGACGTGCATAAACTTGTAACTCCTAAGCAGATGTTGAACAAAAAACATATACCTCGTGAAGTGGAGCGCAAACAAAGACAGGTCCAGGGGTGCCGCTTGGACTGCACTCCTCTTGCTGTAAGAGTATCAAATTAAAGGACCTGGATTATGAAACTTCTATAGTTGCACATTGATCAAAATCAAACTACTCTAATATTTCTATAACTATTTTAGCACTGAGAACAGCACTAAACAAACAGGAAGAGCAAACTATGTAATAAGCAAAACTTAACTGCATGATCTGCGTATTATTTTCACAGTGAACAGGAACGAAAGTAAAGTTGGTAGATATGCTATGTATCTTCTGCTCTGATCCTGAAACTTCCAGGCCCCCAAATGAAACCCTCCCCGCACTAAAAATAGAAATGAGTAAAGTCCCATCTGCTTTCCTTCAATTCAGTCACTTTTTGCTATTACAAATAGCAATAGCAGTTAGACTTATATACCGTTTCATAGGGCTTTCAGCCCTCTCTAAGCAGTTTACAGAGTCAGCATATTGCCTCCACAGTCTGGGTCCTCATATCACCCACCTCGGAAGGATGGAAGGCTGAGTCAACCTTTGAGCCAGTGAGATTTGAACCACCGAACTGCAACTAGCAGTCAGCTGAAGTGGCTGCAGTACTGCACTCTAACCACTGCGCCATAGAGACTTTGCTTTTATTCATAATTGAAGGGGAAAATCTGATAGGTATAACATGTTGCCCTTATAGGTGGGGATCAATTTAAGGCAAGAAAGAAACTTAGAAAATAGCAATCTTTTGAGTGAAATCTGAGGTTTTAGAGTCAACTGAGAATGCATCACATAAATAATCAATCCCTGCCTTGGACTATATATTTCACAATCTGTCTGACTGCTTGGTTAGAAATTATGAGAGACACAGTGCTGTCATTGCCATATATTACCCTTCCTTGGAAAGGCTAAATAAATCATGTATTTATAGCGTGTGCTGGCTCATCTATGTCTCATATTAAAGCCAGCATCAATGGGCACATGCTGCATACAAACAATTGAAAGGAAAGATAAACACCTATCACTGTCTGCTCATTTGTTTTGGCTTTTTGTTCTTCTGGAAAGTAGGTCGAGGACAAATGGCTGAGAAAGAATGACGTGAAAAAGATAGAAAGGACTACTCTTGGCCTCTTGACTAAGTTCCCCCGCCCTCCCATCTCCTGCCTCAAACATGAAATATCCCCTGCTCCCACCAACATGAGTATGCAGTCTCAGAAAGGAAAGGAGCAACTATGTCAGAATGCCATGAGGTGTATAACTTTATAGAATACAATTAGCAATTTAATAAATTTGTATGCCTCCCAATCCCGTAGGACTCTGGGCGGCTTACAGAAACAAGATAAAAGTTAAAGTTAAAAAATAAAGAGAAATACAATTTAAAAAACAACACAGCATACATTCCATTTAAGTGGGGCTGGACCTTGTTCAACAGCCAGGTTTTAGTGGCTTTTCGGAAGGCCGAGAGAATGGGAAGGATCCAGATCTCTACANATGTATGTATGTATGTATGTATGTATGTATGTATGTATGTATGTATGTTATAATCAATGTTAATATCATGGGAAAGTTTGCCTAAGATCTGGTGTTTTCTCTACCTTCAAGAGGAATTCATATCATTGGGGGATAAGATGTGAAAATACTGCTTCTCTTTCACATTTTTCCTTTTATAATAATAGAACAGATCAAAAACTAAAGGCCCGTCAGGGGATAGACAAGTCACATAAGCAGGTATAGCCTCAGGTCTCAAAATAACATCCTAACCCTACATAAATCTGTCAACTTCTCAACACCAAGAAAGGGAGAGAGCTCTTAGAGCATCAGATACTATGATTGAAGTATCCCTTTCATGCTTATTTTAAATGTCAGAAACCCAAGATGCAGGAATCGCTTCCAGAGGTAGCAAACAAGAGAAAAAGTGGTAGAGCGAATTAGCTTAACTGCTCACTATAGATAAAACCACGCGGATATCAAAGCCAAAGTTTTTGCAAATCAAACACGTAAGGAACGAAACATGACATGCTACTTCTGCTCAGACTCAAGATGAATCCAGATGTTTGAAGTTTTTTTCCCAATCCACAGACATCCGTCAGATGGGATTGGACTGTAGGACAAATCCCATGGGTCCTGGACGTACTGGATTTGTACTCCTAATATATTTAGAGCTAGTAGGCTGGAAAGAAATGGTACATATTTTCTTTCAATCTCTTTCATGTCCTGTAGCAATTTTGTTTATGCATTATTATTATTTTTGCATAAAGGAATACTTTACTCTAAATGATGACATCTGATTTTTCTTTATGGTGCTGAGAAAAAATTGTATGCATTACCAGCACATTTACTTCTTTTAAAAGGAATGAATATTATATATATTCATATATAATATTTCTTATATATATAAGAAAACCCTTAATAATACATTACCAATTAATAAATCATCAAACTATTTGTGCATAATTTAAAATATTGAAATTTACTAGGTTGCATAGGTAAAGGTTCCCTTCACACATCGTTCAGTCATTCCTGAATCTAGGGGATGGCACCCTCTCCGTTTCAAAGCCAAAGATNAATCATTCATCATTTGAGATAAGATTTTAAGGATTTAACTGCAATTAGGCGCTCTGCGGGCTGTTAAAAAACTGGATGGAATTGAATGAAGTTCATTAATTGCCTATAAATTTTCCAGAGACAAAAATATTAACATCATGAAAGGATGGGTAACCAATGACCTTCTTGTGTTTCTGCAGCCTCAAAGCTCTATAAAGAGTCTGCTGGAATTTGGTCACAAAATAGTCAACTTTAAATCAGTATAATAAATGGGGGAGGGAGGGTTAAAGAATGATTTTTGTGTTTGAGGTTTTCTACACTCCTCTAAACATGAAAACCACAGGGAGGGGGGAGCTGAAAAAAATTATACAGGCCACCCAGCATATTTCGTAGGCCACTGGCCTATCTACTTTGCCTATGCAAAGACTTAAACATACTCAGCTCTGCATTGGAGTTCAGTCCTATGCCACACCCAATACAACATGCTCTACTGGCCAAGTTAAAGTTCTGGCATCTGTACCAGATCCTGAGCTCAGTTTTAACCTTATTACTATTATTTTTTGCGAGTCATTGCATTTGAAGCGAGGTTGTTCCCTTCGCTTGTAATGGAAAGTATTGCATAAACACAGAAGGTGGTTTAATTCAATAAACCAATTAAGCATGTTGTGTGAATCTAGTCCTAGTTTACTGCTGATGATCTATTGCTTTTAATGTTGTTCTTGTTAGGAATAGTAATGTTTTGATAAGTACGGAAATTGGTGGGGTTTGAAATTCATTAGTTCCTTTTCGAGAATTAGCCCGATACGTGATAATCACATTATTATACTGCCGATGGGCAAAGGCTTTTCTCTGAATAGTACTTCCTTCCATAAAATATCCCAAGTAGGATTACATTTAGAGAATCAATGAGCCATACCTGGCTGATCAAAACAATCAGAACTGGGAGGCAAATTATTTCCTACCTCCAATCTGTCCGTCCGCATTAGCTTCTGTGCTGCTGCTGCTGCAGCGGCAGGAACTGGCACACCAGGATTCCCTGCAACCAGCATTGGTGCTGTTGGCAAGATCTCTGCTGGGACCAAGCCAGGAGAAACTGGCCCCAAATAGGGGTTAAAGGCTGTTGAAGCGTTGGTGGCTAGGCTTGGTGCAACTGAAAACATTGGCTGGTAAGAGAGAAAGGGAGAGAGAGAGAGCAAGAGAGTCAAATGTAAATAGTAGTCCCAAAAAGCTTTCTACATTAAATCATTTTGAAATAATGCAACATTTATGCATGCAGACAATGGTGTTAACTGACCCTCTCATACATGGAAGAAGCTTCCTGTTCAAGGAAGGCATTTGAGCCAGCAACTGATCCCAGGAACTGTAAGGGAAGGAGATAAAGTTTGCACACTACCCCTGTGTTCTGGATAGTCAAGTCATGTTTCCACAGTAGGTATGCAAGAACTGGTGCAGTAAGGAGCAATCACTAGGGTGCCTCCTTCCACTGGCAAAGGCATCTTAAGAGTTACTCATCCCAAGGTACAGAAGAACTCAGGATCTATACGCTTGGCCTTCTTTTGGAATAATCTACAATATGTATGATTCCTGCTGCTAGAATTGTAATGTTTGGCCTAAAGCTGTCTTAAAATTTTCAATTCAAATTCTCAAGCCCTTTTTCTGCTGTGAAAAGGTAAATTTCTTTTGTCTTTCTACATTATTCTTAAAGTGTTCCAGTACTTTATTTGAATTTATTTTGGGGATGCATTTCATCTTTCCTTCTGAAAATGTTGAGGGCACTACAGCTGTTGCTGTTAAGAGTTCTTTTTCTTCCTCTCAAGTCTCCTTGGCAGCCCACACTTTCCAATCAGTAAATGCCCAGTTAGAGAAGATGCTTCCTAATGTTTTGACTTTATCTAATAGAAAGGTGACAAGCTAGGATAACTGTACAAGAAGAAATACAGAGCATTTACAGAGCCTTAGAATTTCTGTCATTAAGTTGTGATGGTCCTATGTCAAGGTACCCATGTGATCAGTCTAATTTTACAGCTTTTTTTTTGCGGTGGTGGTTAAGTAAACATCATGCCTCTAAATTGAACATTGAATTCGTTAAGCAAGTTAATGCATTGTTATGTGAATTTTTTGCTGGAAACTGGCCTTTATAGCCAGTTTCCTGCAAGAAAACCTATAGTAAACTATGTCACGCGACTGTTGGATACCGCAACCGGCCATGAAGATAAGCCGGCTGCTAAGTGTTCAAAATGTGGTCATGTGACTTTGTGTGTTGCGTGCATGCGTGCCACCAGAACACTAGAATCAGGTCCTAAGTACCTTTGGGGGACCCATCATAACTTCTAATGGTTGCTAAGTGAGGACTACCACTACATACATAATTTGGACTCTTAGTACTTAAAACAACACAACATTTTTCCCTTCCCCCCATCAAACTGAAGGCCTTCACAAGAAAAGGGCATGAACCTTTTTATATATGACATTAATTACTTCAGCCTCAACTACAGGAGATAAAGACAACACTCGTTTCTTGTTAAGCTTTTATATAAGCTAATTAGTAGCCAATTGTTGGAACTGGGCAGGGACCGTTCATATTGTACCAACATAATTCTTACAGCAATTATAAAAGAACATTTTTATTCTTTTCACAGAGCAATTAAATTGTAAGATACAGTACATATACATGAAAATGGCACCTGTCATAAGGTCTTTTCTTTTATAAAAGCTGTTTATAATATTATTTGCATGTAACCTCATAATAATGATAGTTTTTAATTATATTTTACTATCAGTGTTGCAAAGTAAAACCGTATGAAGTTGCTGTAGCCTGCATACATTGACACCATTACTACTGTTCAGATTAATCTTAAAGGCAGAGAGAGCTTAGCAAAGACAAACAAGGGAAATTTTCTTTCCTGGTCTCTTCTCTACACAGACTGGATAATCTAAGGTACGAATTAGAAGTACTTTATTGTTTTGATTTATACCCCATTTTTACATTAAAGTGAATTTATCAAAGTGGGTTACAAGTTTCAAACACACATAACACAAGGTGGCAATAGTTCAAATGTTCCAGATGATTTATAAAGACGGGATAAGATTTAGCTCCCAAAGCAGTCTGCATTCCNAGCTTCACAGTACTCCACAAGGGGGCTCCCTCTGATAAGGGAGAAAAATCCAACATTAGAAATTACATTTGGTCCAGACATTTCCCCGCTCTAAATAAATACCAGGGCGAAGCCAGTTTATCAACTACTTTGTTATATATAACATTTGTAGATATTTATGACTAACAACTTTTCCAAATGCCTGTAGTTTGGCATGGGTTCAGAGGGAAGGTATCACCAACTTCTAGAAGGGAAAAATGGTACAAGTAATCCTCACATAATGACTGGTTGTTTATAACTTTTTGAAGTTACAAATACAGAATAGATGTTTTATGGCACAAAGCACGCAGCCATTGCAAATTGTTGTGCCACCTCTTCCTGCGCTCATGTGATTAAATGTCAGGTTGGTCAATTTTATGCCAGTCACAGCATTCCATAATCACAATTTGCAATGTTTACTGCTGGTTTCCAGCATTTTTTTGTCAGTTTCTAGAAAAAAAACTCTCATTCAAATAAATGGGTTCACTTAAGACTGCGATATTTGCATAATGACTGTGGCATTCACTTAAAGGCTGCCATGATATAGCCTGGAACATTTCTTTCGGTCATGTAGATACTTTGACTTATTACTGCAATGACTTACAACCATAATTTCAGACTTAATTACAGTCATAGGTTGAGGACTGCCTGTACATATTTAGATAAAAATAAGAAAAAGCTACAGGGGAAACCCCAAACATTCCAATGAGAAATAAACATTTTCAGCATTGGTTAACTGTATATAACATCAGGAGGAATTGGAGGAGACACTCTAGTAGAACCCTAAACTTGATTACTTAACTGTGAAATAACTGTTGCTGGTCCCACTTGTTGTTATCTGTACCAGTCATCTAAAAAAAGATTTCTTACATTGGCTTCTACAACATTTTCAAAGCTGTCATTAGTGACACTTGAATTATTTACCTACAAAGTGTAAAGAAAAGAATGGGAAGCACAGACATGGACAGGAGTGTTGTCATGACAAAATCCTCCTTTTATCTTTTATGCTTCTAAATTTCTACCTTCCTATTTTTATCACTTTGTAACTTCTCATATCTTCAGTTACATTGCAGGCTTCACCAGCATGCTCTTTGTAGCCATCTAGAGAGAACAACAGTACAATTCCTTGGGTTTAGATTTACATCTATTTCAACCTGCTCCCACTGTGCTCCAGTGCTGTAATTATCCAATTAATGCTGATGACAAGCAAGAGAAAATAGCTAACTATATCATGACCTGTTTCCACATTTCCCAAGGGTTTTCAATTAGCCAACACTGAAAATAGAACACTGATAGTGGGTGTGGTACAGCGGTTGAAATTAGAAATGAGGACACCCAGGTTTCAATCCATTTCACTAGATGACTTTAGATTTTCAGTTCAATCTATCTCATGAATTTGTTGTGGGAAACCGGGAGCATGATTTACACTGTGTGTGACTTCAAAAAAGTAGAGTGAGCTGAGACTCTAAAGTCATCTAGCGAATTAAGGGACATGAAACTAATCATCATTATCTTTTGCTTGATTTTTGATGTTTCCTATTCTCTTCAGGATATTGTTATTAAAATATCACAAGTTTTCTTGTGCCTGTACCAGTGGTGGGATTCAAATAATTTAACAACTGGTTCTCTACCATAATGACCAGCTGGGTAGGCATAGCTCGGTNAGGCCCAACCTGTGAGATCTTATTGGTCGTTGGGAGGTATATGGCAGGAGGCAGTCTCTCAGATATCCAGGTCCTAAGCCATGTAGGGCTTTAAAAGTAATGACGAGCACCTTGAAGCGCATTCGGAGACCAATAGGAAGCCAGTGCAGCTCGCGGAGGATGAGTGTAACATGGGTGTATCTAGGTATACCTGATATCGCTCGCGCGGCTGCATTCTGGACCAATTGTAGTCTTCGAACACTTTTCAGGGGCAGCCCCATGTAGAACATCTTCATAGATTCATGATTAATATTGGTAATGCAATGATTCATGGATTGCATAATGGTTGTTAAGGCATCAGCCTAGAAACTGGGAGACTGTGAATTCTAATCTCTAATAAAAGCCAGGGGGCAGACCTGGACCAATCACTCTTTCTAAGCCCAATACATCTCACAGGGTTGTTGCTGTGGAGAAATTAGGAGGAAGATCTGTTGGATATGTTTGATGCCTTGAGTTATATATATTTATATATTTAATATATATATATTAAAGACAGCATACAAATAAATAAAACAAATATTGTATCTGTTTTACATACATGTTCTAATGCATTAACACATGTTTCCTGTGAGACACCTCTATGATGGAACAATTGAATAAATTGTTAATAAATGAATATATTGTTAATAAATGAATCTATAATAAATATAATGTATTACTATATGAGTTTATTGTATTTATGCTATAGGATTTTATGCAAGCAAAACACTAATTTTTTACTATAAAATATAACAATTCAAATGTACGGAAGCATATAAATCATAGCTGGGATTTTCTGACCTAAATATAAAAAAACCAGAAGTTAACGTGGCTTTTAAACAAGATGACCTGAGATATGAAAGTCTGAGTGAGATATTTTAATCATAATAGCTGCCAATCTAGATGTTGCCAATCCTGGAAGTTTTTTTTTTAAAAAAAAATGGTTCTGGGAGAGGCAAACAACAGGACAAGGGCTGAGTTTGCCATTGTTGTATGATTCAAAAAACAAGCAAACAAAATTGGTTGGATATTATTGTCTGGTAGAAAAAATATCTGGCTGAGAAGAGAAACTGGATTATCTTCTAGGTGAACATGGTATCTTTCCATAGAACTTGTATTATATTCTCAATGAGTTCAAACACTGGACCAAGGATACATGCAAATAATTTAACTCTTCTGAATTTGGGGATTCTATTAGTGGGAGCATAACAGAATAGCCAAATATATTTGGAGGATACCAGAGATAAAAGACCTAATTGGTGTTATATTTTGACCAGGGCCTTCAAAAAACCTGCACAATCTTGTATCAAAAGTGTTTTTCCCCCCCTTTCTTTCTTTTTTTGGTCAAAAGGCAACTGGACTGTTTTTTTCTTGAGGGAGAAGATGTTTGACTTCTCATCCAAGAGAAGTGAAAGGTCTTCTTCCTCAAGGAAAATACACTCCTTCCTTATAGAAAAAAAAACATAGTCCAGTTGCCTTTTGAAGAAAAAGCACTGGAGACAACCATGGCCTGGATGACTGAGAACTTCCATAGATCTGCACAACCTTTGTGTCTCGCCCAGTCCAGATTTGTTGACTTCCTGATTATAAAAGCTGTAATGGGACAGTGTGTTTATTCCATTGTCTTGCTAATGACAATCCAGTGATGGAATTCAGTGATTGACGGGGGGGAAAAAAGCATGGCTCCTATCAAAATAATATATTCCTTATATTCTTAGTCATATTTCAATGTGATAGCAATAGCAATAGCAATAGCAGTTAGACTTNATATATATATATATATATATATATATATATATATACACACATACACATACACACACATACACACACACATCCATCCTTAGAATTGACTAAAGCTGGACTTAGAGATCAGAAAACAAAAAGTTCTTACTTGTACCTCTGAAATACTATCTTAACTGCAGAATGGAAGGGAGAACCTATCTACCATGCACTAGAATGCAGACCAATTAGAAACTTTGCACTGGATTTGCAAAACATAGCTAGAAATTAAACTACTATGTATTTTAGCAGTTTTGAATTTAACACAAAGAAAAAAAAACTTGAAATGTTTAAACTCTTTCATGTACTCAGTGTCTCAATATATTTTATCATAATGTCTCTATAGATTTTTACAAGTACTGCAGAACTGTCAATCCAAATATATTAATCATTAATGGTGAAATATAAATTCATAGACATCGACAACATCTGAGGTCAATGAAATATAATGAGGGTAACTTGTATCTCCAAAAATAACACTGTGCAAATATTCCTACTTTAGTAGTGCAGATGCTTGTGTTAGTGATTTTTTTAGAAACTAACTATAGTCTAGGATTAAGATTAAGATTCCAAAGGGCAGCACTTCTTGTTAAGACCATATTCAATTATTCCACATAAATATCTTTATCATTGACTAGCTCATTGATTCTATACCCTTAGTTAATATTACAAACAATTAGATTGATTGTACTTAGAATCTATGCCAAAATCATACTGCTTTTGTTTCTTTAACAGACCTGTATTCTGTTCTGA